TATTAATTTTTAAGTATAGATATGCTGATTCTGCTCCAGCCAAGAAGAAGCAATATTTCTTCAGAACATCTGATATGGTTGTGACTTCAAACAAAGCCATTTACAAAGAATTTTGTGCTCTACTAAAGGGGGCTTGGCTTTCACAAAGTTCAAAAAACTACAAAAAGATGCTTACATATGAATTTGACAAACATAAGCTTTATTTTTGTAAAGATTTAAAAAAAAATATTTTCCACCTGTATGTGCATCCAGGGCAAGGAGGAGACATTTAAGGTAACATGCAATCATAATTGTGCATAGTAGTATACCATACACAAGGACCAGCTAGGGTTCTCGCTAGAATCTGCTACCTTGATTCCTGGGACTCAAGGTTTCTGAAAAAGTTGAGTTCCATCTTTGATGCATCCCAGAAAAAATTATATTGAGTCCCAATTGAATTATTGCCAGAATGCTTGCACATTGAGAATAATTTTCTCTAGAACCATTTTTTTTTTTTTGAGAAAATTTTTGGCATTAAAATTGTTCTTTGTTTTGTAGAGAGCAATAATGTTGGTTTTTTTTTTCTTTAAAGTACCATTTTCGCACAGATAGTGTCAACAAAGTATCTAATAAGCACAATTATGATTGCATGTTACCTTAATTGTACAAAAATTAGCACACTCAAAATTTAGTCCCATCTTCAGAGATCATGAATTAATGCACTTGAGCCTTGAAAATGACAAGTATGAGTTTAAATCATGTTCCGGTATTAGCATGTACATAAATAAGTGGACATGTTACCTGAAGTTGCACATAATTTTGACATATTGTAGCTATTTTTGAGAAGTTTTGTAAATGTATTTCCTCTTTTTTCCTAGATAAAATTTTGAACCAAAATTGTGACTCCACCTTAACCTTGAGCACATTTTTGGCTTGGTGGTTCTAGAGAAAATTTTTTTTAAATGAAACCACCCAATGGCACCCATTTTCACAATTCTCCCCTTTTAAAAAGGAGCATGGCTTTCCATTTAAACAACCATAAATTCCCTAAAACCCAAAAATGCTGGTAACTTTGTTGAAATTGTTTAAAGATCCTCTAAAGAGAAAATAAAACCAGATGTCTCTGATGAGAATGAACATGTAGCTCTACTGGTTTGAATTCAGAATCTATTTGTATATGTATTTCATGAGCATGTAAATTATGATAAAACCTTTATAAGGAAGTTCATAGTGTGACTATATTTTCGTTTCAGCATAATCTTCAGCAGTATGATAACATTGTTATTTTTGGAGTCCAGAGTATGGTTAGTATTGTTTATTATTTTTTTTTTATCTCTGAACATTTTCCTTCTTTCTGCTTCACCTGTGGAGCCTGTTGAACAGATGGAGATCACTATGTTTGGAGTAGGCATACTTTCAGTGGTCACCTGCATGTTCCCTTAACTCTAGTTTTCTATGTAATTATATAATAGGTTTAATATGGACAAATCAGAAAATGGACATTTCTTGTTAAGGTTATTAATTTTTAGTGATTTTGGGGATAACTGATTAGTTTCTCGGCCAATATATGTGAATAAATTTATATTTGGACATTTATTTTAGCATTGCCATGGCCATTTTTAATTATGCCAAAATTAAAATTTCACTTAGTTCCTGTTACATGTATATGGTATATCTACACATTGAATATTCCACACCTGTCACATAGAAGACCTTTTATGTATTGGCATCATTATGAAAAAAATTGTTTTTCTGTTTATAGATGAAGGAGCTTGAGAAGAAAATTATTGCAGAAAGTAAGGATGATGTGAGAGTTGTTGCCTGTAGATTTCCTCTACCAAATATTGAACCAGAGGCAGAAATAGGAACTGGTGTGGACACAGTTTGGCTTTATAAAATACCCAAAACGTGATTCTCATCTTTATTAACAAAATCTGTTTTTGTCAGCTATGAATGTGATAGCAATGTTTGAGTTCATTTTTAAGTGCAGTATGTGTATGTTCTTTGTGAGTTATAGAACTGTACTCAGTATATTAACCTTAGAAGTGTGGTAAATGTGTCAGAAGCATGTAATATGACTTAAAATCTGACAGGTATCTGCCTCCAGGAAGATTATTAGTTTTTGTGGGTGTAAAGTGGATTGGAAAGTTAGCCACACCTTAAACACTGCATTATGTGACGGTTTCCGGATAACAATATCAATGTGAAGAGAAATTTGAGAACTACATCAGGGTTACAACACAGTTTTTTAGGGGTCACGTTTCCTTACATTGACTAGGATTAACCTGGATGTACTAAAGAAGAGCTCGTATTCTAAATTAAGTATAGCAAATGTCATTCATTCAAGTGTGAGATACTGACAGAAATTAATCCAACCTTTGGAATAAAATCCTGAGTGTCCAAAGTATTAAGATCTAAAAAAAGAAAAAGCAATATTTGCTATATAAAATGGAATCATGATTTTTGTTATATTTTTCTTAATATTTACAATAAACAATATTTTTGAACAAATAGTGTTCATGCTTACATAATTTGCATCATGATAATGAATCTATTTATTATAGTAGATTACAATAAATTATTACATTTTCAACACTGAAATACTGTGATTTATTTATTGAATAAAAGTGGTATCCTCTTACAGTGTGAAAGGATGCCAAAATGATATTCTGTCACAGTGTGAAAGTAAGTAAAAAATAATTTCTGGCCTGAGACTAAAATCGCCAATTTCTTCCCAAATATGTTGCTAAAATCCATGTTACAATGTTTTCAATATCACAACTGCTAAGCTATGACGTCTCAACTGCTCAATTATGATGTCACAGCTTATAACACTGTGTTAAGAAAAGACAGAGGCAAAGGGAAAATCAAAGAAAATGTAATAAACAGAAAATTCAAGGTTTTGTAGTTGGATATGGAATTTATTTCACTCATGAGACAGAATTTTTTAATATTTTCACTCCTGCTTCGCACTCCTGAAATCAAAAAAAAAAAAAAAATCCTGTCCCACTTGTGAAATAGATTTCATGTCCAACCACAAAACATTGAATATCCTCTATATCATTCATTTTTAGGTCAGCTGAGTCACTCAGGTGTTGCTATCTGTTTTTGTATGTCTGTTTGTGTTGTGGGTAAACTTATTTTCACTTTGGACCAAATCCAATCAAACTTGCCACAAAGTATCCTTGGGTGAAGGGGATTCAAGTTTGTTCCAGTGAAGGGCAGTGCCCCCTTCCAAGGGGAGATAATCAAGAAAAGGCAAAATTAAGGTGGTGTCATTTTAAAAAAAATCTGAAGAAGAACCACAGGGTAAAAAGATTTGAAACTTATGAAAGTTTCCTGACATAGTATAGATTCAAGTTTGTTCAGATCATGGCCCTGGGGGTAGGGTGGGGTCACAATAAGCAATTAAATTTTTCCATGGAAATATATAGGAAAAATCTACAAAAATCCTCTTAAGAACAGCAAAGCCATGATAAGTCATATTTATATGGAAGCATCGGATTCAAGTTTGTGCAAATCATGGCCCTTGGGGGTAGAGTGGGGCCACAGAAAAGGGTCAAAGTTTACATGGAAATATATAAGAAGAATTTTTTTAAAATCTGAAGAAGAACGGCAGGGCCATTATTAGTCATATTGATATGGAAGCACCATCAGGTGGTGCAGATTCAAGTTTGTTCAGGTCATGGCCCCTGGGGATAGTGTGGTATATATTAGTTCCCTTTTGAGATCCAAAGTTCAAAGTTAAAAATTTATACATTGCAGAAAATGATTTTCAGATGATAAGTTCTTTTTTGAGCCTTCAATAAATCCAAAGTTGATGACTCTCTTACTTGAGAAAGATCCCCTATTAAATGAATTTAAGGCCAAAAGATGAAAGGTCAAGGTCAATCCTTAATTCTTTTCCTTCTCCATCAGCATTTTTAGCTCACCTAAGCCAAAAACTCACATGAGCTTTTCTGATCACATTGTTTGTTCGTCTGTTAACTTTTCACAATTTCGACTTCTTCTCAAGAACCACCGGTTCAATTTCAAACAAAATTGTCATAAAGTATCATTGGAAGAAGGGGATTCAGATTTGTTCAAATGAAGGACAATGTCCCCTTCCAAGGAGAGATAATCAAGAAATAGTGAAAATAGATTTAATAGCATCTTTAAAAAAAATTCTAGAACCACTGAGCCAGAAAAAATGAAACTTATGAGAAAGCTTCATTACACAGTGTAGATTCAAGTTCGTTCAAATCATGGCCAGTGGGGATAGGTTGAGGCCACAAGAGGAGATCAAATTTTTACATAGGAATATATAGGAAAAATCTTTACAATTTGATCTTCCTCTAATGAATAGCAAAGCTATTACTTGTCATATTGATATGCAAGCATCCTTTAGTAGTTTAGATTCAAGTTTGTGCAGATCAGGGCCCTCGGGAATAGGTGGAGGCTACAATAGCTGATCAGAGTTTTACAAGGGAGAGTATATAGAAAGAGATCTCTTAAAGAGTTGCAAGACAACACTAAGTTATATTAATAAGCAAAACATACACAGTTTGTGTGGAATCACACTAAATCATATGAATAATTGATACATTCCCAAGTTGTTCAAAATTATTTTATTTTAGATTATGAACCATCGGGTTAGGTTGGGCTGAAAAAATTTTTTAAAAATCCAAATTTTACATGTGTACAGGAAAAATAGAACAACATTAACAGGGTCATGTTGATTTTTTTTAAAAGTCTGATGATGAAGAACAGCAGGGGCAAAGTGACTCAGGTAAACATTGTAGGCCATAGGTTTTTTATTTAATTATACCACACACTTGTTTTTTCCTTAAGTGGATATTCCTAATAAGCTTGTTTATAATTAACTTGTAAGAGTTATCTCTCTTACCAGATTGTCAATAAAATCTTATCTGTAAAATTTTACTATGTTTACACTGAAGGAAGAAAGAGTACCAAAATTTTAGTATGATTGCTCATTTTTATATATAAATACAATATCTAGTCAGTTAAATATGCTCGCCAAGTTAAAATATGAAGATTAAGCAGATATTAACATTATTACCCTGCAATTAGTATTTAAAATCAATTATCTGTGCCAGCATTCAAACCACAGGGTGGGGCCAAGTTAGTCCTATACTTAAAATACATTATATCAACGAAAATCCTCTCTTATGAAGGGCATCTTCTATGTACACTGTCTGCTTGATTGTAATTTTTTACCAAAATTGGGAAATTCGTGGCCCCTGGGGTTATTGTTCATGTCCTAGGGTGTGCTTAGTTGGACAAATATTGAAATACTTTGCAACTTTAAAATTCTTCTCACATTAATTAACATTACACATTTATTGACTGGGTTCAAGGGCAACATGCGTTTTGTCGGAAGAACCAAACTGTTTGCCTGAGGCCGCATTTTGCCCGAGAACACAGTCAATAAATGTTTTGTTATACCTTTCATTTATTTATTATTATTATTTTTTTTTTTTAACATGTATACATGTATGTCGAACACCAAAGAATGCAAATGAGATTTAGCTGACCCCGCCCATTGTGTGACGTAAGCAGTCCAACATCTCATCGACAAGTCCAATATCTTGCATCGATTTTTTTTATGACCGCTCAGCAAAACATTGGAAATGTTAGACTTTTATTATTATTATTGATTCATTATAGGAACAATTTTTTAAAGGTATAACAATAGCAGGTATCTAGTGATTCCATGATTATAATAAACACTTGGAAATGCATTATACTTTTGAAATTCTTCTCCTCTACCCTTGGAAAGGCAGACAAATTTACCATGATTAAAATAAACACTTAGCTCTCTCTCATGTTGTAAATTTTGAATTTACCGGGTGGCAGTAAATACAAAATTTACAACATGACAACTATTTACTGCCTCCTGGTAAATTCAAAATTTACGACATGACATCTTTTCCAGTATTGTGAAATCCATGCCCTGAAGCCCATGGTTCATGCTCCATGGTAGGGCTAAGTTAGTCATTTAACTGTTTGTCATATGTTTGATAATAATTTACACTAGCCCTCTACCAAAGTTCATGGCACATTGCCTATGTTCAGGCTCTAGGGTGGGGCTAAATTGGTCATATATTGAGAGTACTTCTTTGAAAATCTTCTTCATTTACTCATAGACCATCAGGCAAAATGTTTACATGATTTTAATGAGCATCTAAGCACTATATATAAAATTATAAAAATTCTCTGGATATAGCTAGGCCCCCAGAGTGGTATTACCGGTAAGTTAGTCATTTATTGAATGGATTGTACAGTGTATCTTATTTTTTTACTCCTGAACTAGTAGGAGACAGTGTTACACAAATATGATATAGAATGTATAAAATGTTTGTCACATGAGTCCAGACTTCGAGTTTTGGGTGGGGCCAAAAGCCTTAGCTTGATTGATTGATTGATTGTATGTTGTTTTACGTCCCGTTCGAGAATTTTTCACTCAATGACATATAGAGATGTCACCATTTACCGGTGAAGGGCTTCAAAATTCAAACCAGACTCCGTTGCAAAATGAACAAACTACGTTGTAAAACGAACGATCACCAATGCAAAACCAATAGTCGGTCACTGAATTGACGCTAGATGGCGTGCAAAAAAAGAACAGTCATAATCTGAATTAACGCTAGATGGTGCGATCGAGAGTCTGTAAATTATGGAAAGCCATATACATGTATATCTAATTATGTATAATTAGAATTTTTTAGAAGCCTTTGAGATCCATATCTTTGCACTGCTTATGAATTAGTATTATTATATACATGAACATATTTTAAATTAAAAATAAATGTAATTTGATTTAGAGTGCTTTCTTTCTTCAGTTCTTTCTTTTCTTTCTTTCTTTTTTTTTTTGTCTTCAAACACATTTAACACAATAGATGGATTATTTCTGCATTTCAAACTTTGTAGGATTCAGGAAAGACGATCTCTCACAAAATTCCTTGTCAAATAAAAATAGATTATAAAATGTTAAAAAAAAAGATCTAAAATAAGATTTTCTTTTATTTTGTTCACGGGTTCAGCTCATGATATTTGACAGTTTTATTTTTTTTAATCTATGATGAAGTGGGGAAAAAGTACGAGGGAAAAGTGAGAAAATAAAAACGTGCGTTGTTTATGACGTCAATTCTCTGTTACCAATGCCGCATTTGGGCCAAAAGTCTCATGAGTCACATATACCGGTGAAGGGCAAAGTCACATATGCCGGTGAAGGGCTTCAAATTTAGACCTTTACTCGGCACTCAGGGCCATTGAACAGTGAGGGTTCTTTATCGTGTCACATACGCGTGACATGGGCATGGCCATAGGCACTAAGGGGGGGGGGGGGTTCCCCCAATAATTTTGCCGATATATAGAGTTCTATAGAAAATATAGATACTATATGCTTGTGCCCCCTCAATAAAAACGTCTGATGACCTTTTTTTTTTTTTTTTTTTTTTTTGTTTGTCAAGGAATTTTTGGTAGTTGATAGTGCCCCCTCTACTGAAGATGTATGGCTGT